TGAAGCTTGAGCTTAAGAGCGTCAATCGCCCCATACAGTTCATCAACACGTGAGCGGTTTTGCTTTTCCTGCTCTCGGAGAACTGACATCTTTCGTGCCCCGGCTTCTATTGCCGCTTGGATTGTTTTCTTATGACTTGTTATTTCCTCTAGAGATCGCGTCGTCGACGATGTTGTGTCACGCAGCATGGTCAGTTCTGCGGTCTGTTCGTCGATCTTCACCTGCGCTGCCACGGCGTTCTGGTTGCAAGCTTCCAAGACCACAGCCAATTCGTCGTATTCACTCTTGAACGGTGCGAATTGTGGGTCGCTAATACGTGCGATAAAAGCCTCATCTTCCATCACGCAAGTAGGTATCCGAAATGATCACATTGTTGACCTTCGCTGTAGGCGCTATGTCGCTTTTAGATACATTTCATAGATACGTTTTTTATCAGCATTTCTGAGTAGGCAGGCTTGCCTGGCTTGGCTCAGCGAACCACCGCTTAGGTTCCTGAGGAATTGTAAAGAATCTAAGTTCTGTACATCAACTTGACGTTAAGGTACAGTCCGTAGAAGCAGGATGAGCGTAGTGGGCGAGAGAGGGAATCTCGGTGTGCTACCTTACGGTAGCGCAGCCATCATATAGTAACTGATTATAAAAGAAGGGAACGGGAAGGAGAGCCTAACTAGGGTAGGTACAGTACTAGCATGGGAGTAGTAGGGTCGTAGTAGAGTAGCGCACTGTGGTGTAGTATAGTATATAGTCGACTAAATACGGAGCCTAGTTCACTATACTGACTACGAGGAATTCCCTTTTCAGGTTCAGCCCCGCAACTCCCCTTGGCATAAACCGTGGAGAATTAAAGTACGAGGGAAGAGCGGAGGAACCTAACTAGGGACACTCTCGTATTTCTCTAACTAAGGAAAACTCTCTAGGGGGCCTACATTCCCGGGCCGCTCCTAGAAGAAAAGTCGGCTGGGGAGAGCCATCCGACGGCTCCGCCACCCGCCAATCAAGGGGGGGGGGGGGGGGGCAGAAGACTAGTAGTGATAGTGCGGCGGGTGTGCGAGAACGACTTCGTAAGTTGGAGTTGGCCGAGTCAGATTAAGATTGCACAACTATTGCAGTGCCGAGTATGGAGTTAGGAGGCCAGCAAACACGCGATAAACGCGGGGAACCACGACGCGTCCGAGGGACGTCCTAGCCCCAGTCCTCGCACCCCTCCCGCCGAAGCGCGAATTAAAAACGTACCACTCGGGGGGTCGACCGTGGACGGAACCGTTACCGGAAATATTGCATTGCTTGACCTATTTCCGTCATAATTGGTCATATCTTTCTTTTCTTAAACGGGTGCGATGATGCTAGAAATAAAGACAGTGGTAGTCGGCGACACCGACGCCGGTATGCTAGTTGACTAACCCGCAAATTCAATTGCTGCATTAGGTAAGACGAGCCTCTCCGAGCGTTTCTGCTACGGCGACGCACCCGCAAGTAAGAGCCTACCGCACTCAACATTCGAAATAACAGATTGAATTCTAGGTGCGAGTCCCACCATCGGGGCTTCATTCCTACAAAAGCGTATCCATGTTCAGGTGACTTGTCCACCTACCCACCCTGGCGGTCTTTCACTGTCTGTATGGTAGGACGAAAGTGGAGACGGCAATCATAGTGTCTCTGCACAGCGTCCCCAACAACACGCCGTACGTTTCGTTCGAGTTTGCTAGCAGGTTTCGTTGCAACTGTGGGATACCGCTGGGCAAGAACGATTTCGAAGTATGGCACCGATGTATTACCGTGGAGCCTCTGCGGCCATCATTGTCTTTGATTCCTCCAAAGATTTTGCCTGGGACACAATTAAGGCTTGGCGAAAGGTAAGAATTTGCCTGTCGTGCTGGTGCAAAATAGTCACGGAGTCGCACGTAGGACCTTCAGACGTATGCCGAACCTGGTGTTGTGATTGGTGTTGCTGGCAACAAGACGGATATGCCCCGAGCTCTCAGTTTCAACTTGGAAGAATGCCGTGCTATGTGCACAGAATGGGACGCATCTTTGCATTTTACCTCCGCCCTTACGGGCGAGGGCGTAAATGACTTGTTCTTGACGGTTGCAAAACGGAGTGCCTCTTTGGTTGCTGCACAGCAAAAAAAAGAGAACCCCATCCAGCTAGTCTCCGAACCAAACCCCAAAACTCAGACATGCTGTGCATAATCGAGTCTGACCACCGCCACCAGCCGGGACCCCAGCCCCCGGTTGTTGCTGTGCCAAATTTCAAAATGGGCTCTGGGTGTCCCTTCAATGGCGGAGCGACTAGCTGACTCAGGAATCCGGGGCAGGCGTGGGACTATAGCCGGCACAGTTCCGGGCAACACCGAAACGAAAGTGCCCAGGAAACTGCCAGTAACTACTGGTGATTTGCGTTGCCCGTGGGGCTAGCTAGTTGCCGGGTATGCAAGGTGCCAGTACAGAAGGGCCCGCCCCCCCGGCGGAACGCGCACCGGGGGCGTGTGGAGGCGTTTCGGGGGGAAACGGGTGCTGCAGGCCCGCGATAATGGTATAAAGGAACTTTACCCTCAGCCTTGACTCTAGGACTAGGTAGAGGGATAGAGAAATTTCCACCCTCATCCTCAGGCTCAGTGAACTGCATCTTGATGTTACAGTGCAACAAATAATGAGCAGCCAATATCCTAACTAGGATTTATGCTCCTCTGATTTTTTCCTCTCTTCGAATTCCCGTCTTCGTACATTATACTAACCTAAACTGGATACATATCCACCGTCGCCGACGGCGCTCGCTGTAAGTAAAATAGGGTCATACTAGAGATACAAGCCAAGTGCACTGCCAACTTCAAGCCAAGCCAATTAAGTTACCTTAGTCCATTATCCCG